TTGTGTGTACAGAAATGTACTATTCACCCTCCCTGTTAAATTTAATCTAATCCGTGTCCTGAAACACAGCTCCTCTCCTGCTTTCACTTGTCATACTGACGGAGGGAGCGATTCGTTTGTGAATGAATCCCCCGAACGACTCTTTCACGAGCCGACAATAATACTAATAATACAGTTTCTGGCACCGCAGCATCTCGTTGTCATATTTCTTTTGCATTGTTTGCTGATTTTATTCAACAAAACTTGCATAAGCTGAGTGTTTAGTGCGAGTTAGAGCTGCTTTGCCGTATGGTGAATGCAGTAAGAGACTGTATTATCATCAATAACGTTACCTGATTAGCACAAAAGTTCAGAACATACAAAAACAGAAAAAAACTTAATATTACCTATGAAGTGTTCTGCCTTTGTGCTTTGTTTTCTTTATTAGCTCGTTACTACACCCGTAGACAGCGCTAAAGTCTCGCATCTTCACGTAATAACACTGTCTTGATTAGTGCGGTTGAATGACATTTGTCCTGGGAGCACTGTACCAATGTGGCGGCGCTATTGACGCATGCTCAGGGTCCTTATGCGATATCTAGTGTGTGTATATATATATATATATATATATATATATATATATATATATATATATATATATATATATATATATATATATATATATATATATATATATATGAATTAGGACAAGTTTCTAGGTGCTAGTCCATTTAGGCATTTAAACACCAAAACTAAAATTTTAAAATGTATAATAAACTGCGAAATTTATAAATAGTGAAATTTAGCCATTTTTTTCAAAGCATGACTGTAAAACACAAACGCGGTTATGAATATATTAAAACCTATGCTTGTTTGTTGTAAAAATTCGTAATAAGGACAAAAATTTGTGGATCTCTTTACTTCCGAGTGCTGCTGTGGCTGGTGTATTCTGGGAAATTTTCTTACCCCTTGGTTTCGAGTGTGGCCTTGAAAAATCTTTGTTCGAAGGGCTATCCACCCCTTCCCCTTTGCCCTACGCCTTCAAGTTAAAGTGAATTGAAATACTCCTACCCCTTCACGGAAACGCGCAAAACGAGGGCTAGTGGTAAGGGGAAGAAGCGTTAAGGGGTAGAATTGGGATTGGGCCTTAATAGGCCGTATGTGTTTGAAAAGTGTGTATGGGTGTTTCCCAGTGTTGTGTTGCTGCTGGAAGGGCATTCACTGCGCAAAACATCTGTTGGTGGTTCATTCTGCTGTGGCGACCCCTGATTAATAAAGGGAGTTAGCCAAAAAGAAAATGAATGAGTGAATAAACAAATAGAACAATATAATATAAAATGTACAAATTAATCTAACCATGCTTTAAGCATCATCACTTTAAGATATAAACTTGATTTGCTTCTTATTTAAGCTACAAAAGTCCTTCAGTCAGGAGCAGTGAGTGATTTCGTCCTTTTCTTTTGTTATATGATTAATAAACATAGCCAGCAAACACTGTCACTTCAAGAGCCACACAGTTCTGATTTCATGGTATCATTTACCCTTGCCTTTTCCTTCTCAGCTCTTTATGTTTTTTGTTTTTTTTTACATAACATATGAGGGTTTGTGTGAATAATCACAATGTGTCACATTTTGACACATTTTTGCATGATTTTGACCAGGCATGTATGTACCTTCAGTTAAAAGATGATTTTACTCTTGTATGTTATGCTAGTCTCTAAGACTAAGCACAGAACAGCAAAACTTTTTCATGCTTTTAAAAACCCAAGGAATCGAATAAACTTCAATAAATGAGTCATGTTCCATGCTGCAGGTTGACGCAATAAATATTTTATATTGATTAATGTTTTTTTTTATATACTTGGAAGCTGAAATTGAAATTGAATTTTGATTGATTGCACAGCCCATGACAAAGTAAACATCACAAATCTCAAAGCCACCAATATGTGGCTTATGACTGTATCAAAATTTATTGTTGTAATTAATTGCTGAAGCTTTTTTTTTCACAGTATTATTTACACCAGTATTGTGTAATCACAGTATTGTCCTAAGCTGCAAAAAGAGTTGCATTAACATGAATAATAACCAAAAATACTTAAACATATGCATGCAACAAAGCAATAAACATAAATACCCCAGTCTAAACAAATGTTCCAATCAAATTAAATTGCCAAAGCATATTTAAGGACAACATGTAACACATTACAATACAGGTGTCATTAGTAAAAGTTATTTGATTAAAATCAACAGTAACCCCGACTGTTAATATTATTAATAAAAAATAAATGAACTAAAACTAAATAATTTTAGTTGTTAAATCTTTATTTATAAAATTATTTACCACATGTAATTAGGTTACGACTATGACTTTAACGCATTATTAGACATTAACTAAGAAATTGACTAATAAAATATTTTGTAGTTTTAATTGTGAATTCAATTAAATTAACTGATGTTAGCTATTGAAGCGTCTTTGCAGTGTTAGCACACAATATCCGTATAAATAGTCACATAATTTTCGCAATCAATATTATCCGGAAATGGTTTTATATGCTCAATTATTTTAACCCAAAATATCTTTAGAATCAGAAGTCCGGTTGTGACCATAATTGGAAACAGTTGTGATGAAATGATATAAACATGAATTAAACTCATATAGTCCGCTGTCTACAAGTCTTTATTTCGTTGCAAACATTCGCTGCAAATTTCACAATATACACAAATTAGATGTGTGTGTGTGTGTGTATATATGTATGTATGTATGTATATATATATATATATATATATATACATATATACATACATGCATACATACATACATACATACATACATACATACATATTTCAAGACACTTTTATACAGCTTGAAGTGACATTTAAAGGCTTAACTAGGTTAATTAGGTTAACTAAGCAGGTTAGGGTAATTAGGCAAATTATTGTATAACAGTTGTTTGTTCTGTAGATTATTGAGAAAAAAATAGCCTAAAGAGGCTAATAACTTTGTCCCTTAAGTGGTGTAAAAAAATAAAAACAGCTTTTATTCTAGCTGAAATAAAACAAATAAGATTTTCTCCAGAAGAAAAAAATATTATCTCTCAAAATTTCCTCGCTCTGTTAAACATCATTTGAAAAATATCTAAATAAATAAATAAATAAAACAATGTAAAAGCTTTAGTTTATCTGCTTTTCTTGTTTTCAAAATAAGAGTCCCACGTTCATATTAGGTTTAATGTAAGCATTGATAAAAATAAGGAGGGAAAATATGTTTGGTGTAATCTCAGAAGGAAAAGACGTGGCCACATCCCATGTGATTTGTAACAATCTTGGTTCGGTCCAATTTTACTTTCTGGATCAAACTGACAGCTGTAATACCTAGCCCCAAACATTAGTAATTGACGGAATCGAGTTGAACAAACGAATGTTTTGATTGTTCCAGGGAGGTTTAGGGTTTAAGAATTTTGAGGTGCAAATCCATGAATGGTCTAGTTGATGAAGAATAAACTGGATTAATTAATTTTAACACACAGTATCTTTCACAGTATGTTAGTTTTTTTGGGGAACGATGAAGCAACATTCACACTGATAAGGGCAAGTGTCATTCCCAGCATGCTCAGTGCGTGTAATTTAGATTTCTTGTTCTGTTTTTACTTTACCAAATTTGATAAAACCTCAAATCTATATCTTTATGCACATATTTTGCTCTGTTGTTAAGATGACCATTTATATATCATCTGTTTCATTTCACAAATGGTGAGCCAAACGTATGCGAGCGAAAGTCATTAGCCCCTTTCACACAGTGATACCGGTAAATATCCGGAAAATTTCCGGAACTACTTTACCGGTATATTCAAAAAAGCACTGTTCACACAGGCGAGGACGTTACGGAATTTTTCCGGAAAAGAGCATTCACACATCCATCGCAAAATGCCGGTAAATTCTGACATCATTAACCAGAAATGACCTCTAAACAGCTGCGCTTGTGTTTGTAAACATTTGACTACATTGCAAACTCCTCCGATGGATCAGTATTGAGGACAACTCTAATGAAAACATAGAAAAACACTTTCGCATGTCGAGATGTTCATGAAATGTGTGTGTGCTGGCGCTATGGGCGCTCACGGGCACACGCAAAGCTTGAAGGTAAACAAACAACGGATTATCATAAACATTTTATCGATAATTATTTACACAGCATTAAGAAGGAACATAGAAACATTATCTGACTAACATCTAGCAGTTAAAGGTATCTGGTAAAAATATTCAAAGGCTTTTATTCTCATAAACCGCGCGCACGTGAATGCGTCTGACTGTTCTGATTGGCTAAAGCAGGTGTCTCACGTCAGCCCGTTCTAGACGTGGCCGCGCTTATTACGGGAATCTTCCTTCTGCATTCACACAGCGCAGCATTCCGGCAAATTACCGGTAATGTTACAACTTCTCTTTCCGGAAAATAGCCAGAACGAATTTACCGGTATTTTCAAAAAGGGCCTGTTCACACATACAACCTTTCCGGAAAATTGCCGGTAATTTTCCGGAAAGGTCTGTATGTGTGAAAGGGGCTATTGACTCATATGCGGATGAGTCAAACTCATGTCCGCTGTGTTCTTTAGATCATTTTACACCCTTCCCATTTTAAGCTCCCAGCTTTATGAATCACCCGCCTTTGAGTACATGTTCTGGTGCCAGCTCTCAGAAAAGAGACGGATGAATCACTCCCAAAGAATCACGTGCACAGATAAATCTTCTCCTCTTTAATAATTGAATAATGAACTCTGTGTCACAGAGAAGCGCATTCATTTTAAGTGTGTCGCATTGATGACCCCCTAAGTGGCACTGTCTAATTATAACTGCCGTGGATATTTTTAAAGGAGTATTTTTGTGCATGTCCTTCATTATACTCATTTAGTCAGAGGTGTGTGTGTGTGTGAGCGCTGCAAAACTGGAGCTTGTCTACTGTTTTGGACTGACGTGACACTGAGCTGACTGACTTTCTCTTTCCCTTCTTCTCTTTACCATTGCAGGCAGATCAGCTGACCGAGGAACAGATTGCTGGTGAGTGAACTCTGATGGCCTGCTGCAAAATGGTCACTAAGACCACTGATGCTTTGTTTTCACTGAGCGGTATGGTTCAGTAAAGTACAGTACAATTCGGTACGGGTCATTTAGATTGGTCTTGTATATCCACTGCCAACAGTAGCCTTAATTGGTTACAACATATCTTAATCATGGTGTTATGACAGAAAGAAGCACTCTTGCTCGACAAACACGGATTGAGCTCTGCTTGACCAAGATTCATTGCTGTGCACTAGAGCTGGACAATATGGCAAAAAAAAATATCACGATAATTTTTTTCATATCAGCCGATATCGATATTTATCACGATAAATGTAAAATTTTTATATCTATCAATTATATAAGATTTTCAGCATTCCAATGGTTTTGTGCAGCTGATTTAACACATTTAGTGAAATGTTTTTGGCTGTCTGACAATATAAATAATAAAATAAGAAACAAAAGAACAATCTTAATTCAGAATTTACTTGTTCAAGTTTTCAACAACCAAATACATTACCTACAAGTCATTGTATATTATTGTTCAACATCAGAAAAAAATAAACCCGGTTTGGAACTTGAGTTAATGGTCACAGAATTTTCGTTCACACTTTACAATAAGGTTCATTAGTAAATGTTAATGTATTTACTAACATGACCAAACAATGAACAATACATTTACTTCTGTATTTGTTAATGCTATAAACGTTAGTTAAAAAAATACAATTGTTCATTGTTAGTTCATGTTAACTCAAGGTGCATTAACTAATGTTAACAAGCATGGACTTGGATGTTAAAAATGCATTATTAGATGTTTAATTATGATTAATAAATGCTGTACATGTGTTGTTCATGATAGTAAATGCATTAACTAATAAACCTTATTGAAAAAAGTTACCGAATTTTCGGTTTTGGATGAACTCTCCTTTTAATGGTGTATGGTGAATTTAGGGTGAAATATACTTGAATGTATTTTATTTAAGGATGCTAATGATTACTTGATCTATTGATTGTCGATAACGCTTTAATTGATAAACCTTATTGATGACTGATTAAGCATGGACATGTAAAGGTTTAGTTGTGTTTTGTGCTGTGAGACGGGTCTACATAATCAAGTGTGTGCAGTTTACCTTATGCTGTCACACTCTTGACATCCCATATTGCGGGATGCATAAACCCTTGTTATGCGCATATCTCCGATATATCCACGCCTGTTTTAACCAAATGTGTCTGACAGACTAGCACGAATAGGTCTAAGCAGACTCTCATTTTACAAATCACGCATCACAACGAAAACATGCGGGGAGCCAGCCGGGGAGCCTCGGTTTACGCTGCCCAGACCGCGCTTAGTTAATGAATTAAAATGAAACCGTGAAAATAGTTTGATGGACTGTTTTGGCGCTAAAGCATAGCGGGCTTGTGTTAAAGCGATTCACCTGAGATGTTATTCGTTCCTTTTGTTTATGCTGTAGATAACTGACCAACAAAATATACTTCAAAATTAAGTTACACATTATACAAAACGAAATTCGTTACTAAAAGACACATTTTCAAGGAAATATGTTTATATTTATTTAGTTCGTGCCCGCTTTAAACAACTGCGGGTGGATGATGCTTCGCTCCGTGGAAAAAAGGAATTTAATTAATGATCCACTGCTGTTGTAAACGTCTGTTATATTTGCTGCATTTTTAATATGTCATTATTTTAAAGATTATGTCTTGAGCAACTGATTTCTCCTCTGTGATTATGTCCTTTAAAATAGGTTATATAAAGGCTGGTTATTTTACCGTCGATGAGAGACAATAGTGGTATACAGATTTCAAAACAAATATTTTAATATTAAAAGGAAACATAAGCTTGACATCAAAAGATCCTTTTTTGTCTTAACAAATACCCTTAAATGATGCAGTGTGTAGTTTACAGCAAGCATTAAGTGTTCATTGAGATGTGTTTGGGATTGTGTCCTCTGTCATGTCTTTCGTCTCTCTTTTCGGGGTTTTTTTCTCGTAAGGCACGGCTTTCGAAAATTATGACATGAGACTGTTGGGTAGCTGCGCTGGTTTATTAACACTTGTATAGGTCTCTACTTCCTTATGATCTTCATAAGGGTGGTCTTGTTTTAAATGGTGAAACAGGTTTGTGATGTTGCCTGCTTTTGATGACACGAGACGTCTGCACAGTTTGCGTTGCACGTTACTCTGTTTTGTGTCAGATAGCAAAAAACTAAGTAGCTCATGACTGAGGTCTAGTGACTTTTCTTGTCAACAATGTCTGTGACTCTGACCTTTTTATCTTATTTCTTTCTTACTCCTTTCAGTGCAACGAACACTGTATGGCTGTGAACTTGTAAGGCCTGCGGCATCCAGAAGGGCAGGCTGCAAAATGCTTGCGCAACGTTACGCATAGTGCGTAAAAATTATCAAGCAATTATCGAACTGTCATTATCGTTTTATCGAAAAATTGTATATAGTTATAATTATCGATATCGAATTATCGCCCAGCTATACTGTGCACCATTATTTTATTTTGGAGTCAGGTCTTGGGTGTATAATGGTGTAAAAATTTCATGAGTTGTCGTTCCCCTGGGTTGTTGCACAATTCTCTGTAAACCAGTTGTGTTCAACAGTGAATCTAGTTTCACTTTTTTGGTAATGTACAGTTGTGGCAGGTAACCTTACAAAATGGTTCCAAAACATGGTACGGTATTGTCATGGCCAGAGTTATGAAAAGAGAGGGAGGCTGGTGAAAAAGAGTGCTGATGAGCGTCACCTGTGTGCGCTACCTGTCTCTAGTCCCACAGGGAAGCGGAAGCACAAAAGGAGTGATGACAGAGGATGATGAGATTGTTCAAATTACTTATTTAAAATGAGCTGAAACAACACAATTCTTGTGTTTTTTGGGAGGGACAACTTGATTGTTTTATATTCCATTCACTTAAATTTGTGAGAAAAAAAAGTTAATGTTCATGTTCTTCATGTTGCCCCAACACAATTCGATTGTGTGGTACCCAGCATTTTTTGTAGGCCTATCACAGGGGTGGCCAATCTTGTTCCTGGAGAGCTACCTTCCTGCAGATTTCAGTTGCTACCCATATCAAACACACCTGAACACCACGTGATAATTACAGGCAGGTGTGTTGATTATGGGTTGCAACTGAAATCTGCAGGATGGTAGCTCTCCAGGAACAGGATTGGCCACCCCTGGCCTATCAGTTCTGCCGCCTCCCATTTGTTTTGTGTTTATTTATTGGTTTATAAAATTTTTAACAATTGCCGGTTTCCCGCCTACAACTTCCCTTGAACTGCAGGGTTTTTTGTTGTTGTTTTTTTTACTGTAGTAGTTATATATCTCTACTTTTGTTAATGCTGATTATAAAAAATAACAATACATGCACCAAAACTGTAGCACTCATTGGAGACAAGTCATAAGTTTGTCTTTTATGAAACATCATCTGTGTACATACTGGAAGATGTGTAATTACAAGGCAAAAATGAGATGGTCCACACCAGGTGGTTAATCCTACTGCTATTAATTCAAATTGCATGCCTAGAACAGCTTAGTAAAAGCTGTGCTACTGAACTGGTTTGTAATTAAAGACCAAGTAACTCACTTGGCAACTCTAGACAACAAGTTTTGAGATTCGGTGTTGGGTAACATTCAGGGCTTAACATTAACACCCGCCAAACACGGCCACTGCTACTTTGGCTGGTTGAAAATAATTTTTAAATTGTAGTCTTTTTAAAAATCAGGGTCTGACAATAAAGATGGCCCAATATGCATGCAGATGTGATCTTAGATTTGAGAAGCAGCAAGACTGACAAAACTAACTATGTTTGCGAAAGAAAGCAGCTGAATACCGAATGAGAGTATGATCACTTGTGCGCACAGGTCATGCGATGCGCGCGACTGTTTAAAATGCGTGCGCGCTCCCATTTCCTTGCGTGAAACAATTGTGCCTAGAAACGCAACTGGTGTGATCGGTTGTTTTTTGAATAGACTAGACAAAAAGTTATGCTCTTGCACCCATAGTTTTGCTGCTTTCAAGAGCTCCAGATTTGTCTTTTGGTAAGCAGCACCGATTTTGCTTTCACCATTCTTTGAACAGATTATTAATTGGCCTAGCGTTAACCTTGTGTTTGATCATACTCTCATTATCACACATAGAATGTTTTTCACCTGCTTTCTTTGCTTACAGGTATTTTTGGTAATATGGTTTATCATATTTTACAATAACATTGCTTTAATATTAGATTAACTCCTCGTTTATGAGTAGTTAACTGGTGATCTGGGACCTTACCGTGCATAGTTTTAGATACACTACAGCAGTTATTTTTTGAATGTCTTGTTTTTTTTAAGAAATGTTTTTTTTTTTTTTTAAATAAATAGTATACAGCTATATTTAGCTTGTTTTGCCACATTTAAAATTTGTGGATACGAAATAATTATTTATGTTTGGTTTGGTCAAAGATAAATTTGGTAAATCCTTAATTTGAGCTCTGAAAAGTCATGTGAAATAAAAACTTATTGTAATACAACACTATGAAACCATGACCCATTTGCTCATGCTCATTAAGCAAGCTCATACACGACACACAAAAAGTTAAATGAATGAGGAAGCATGTGGACATAACACAAAATCTAAACCAAGTAATTTTAGCATGTCAAAGTTAAATTTATGCATATAAAATATATTTTCCCAACAACAAAATTGTGGCTAGTGAAAATGGCGAGTGGCTAGTAATGTTGGAAAACTACTAGCCACGCTGGCTTGTGTCAAGCTCTGGTAACATTGGTCTTGTGTTGTGATTCTCGATAAGTGGGACACTCTAGGGACCCTTGGTAGGATTAAAAGTTCCACAAACTGGCTTGAAATAGTGTTAAAACTGATAAAATGCAATTTAAAATAAACTAAGCTTGCAAGCCAAAAACAGACAAACTTACATTTGTAATTTGTAGTTCAATATAGGGTTCCTATTATATTTGGAAGACTTATATCCACACCCGAAAAACACATGGGAGTTTGAAAGATCTTGCAAAAATAATTGGAATTTTTGTAATGACTGTTTATAATTAAGTGGCAGTATGTCAACATTTTGATTAGAAATAGATTTGTAATAATGATGATAATATCAAAAATCATGGCAACATAAACAAACATATACATTCATAATGTAGAGTATTCCTAAAACAATTTACTTTTTGCAGTATGGAAATGCAAATGTTTGGAATTATAATTTGTTTATATCTGTTACCACTCCTAGTTTCTGTAAAAAGTTTTACCTAGTGGTGTGTGATGTTGATTAAAAAAATAATTGTACAATCAATATCTTCAAAAACAGAACAATTTCGAACAGGGCCTGAAATAAACCTTTTTAATCGCCAGCCAGTGTGGCTAGTAGTTTTCCAACATTACTAGCCACTCTCCATTTTCACTAACCACAATTTTGTTGTTGGGAATGTTTTATATGCATAAATTTGACTTTGACATGCTAAAATTACTTGATTTAGGTTTTGTGGTATGTCCACATGCTTCCTCATTCATTTAACTTTTTGTGTATGTTGTGTATGAGCTTGCTCAGTGAGCATGTGCACATGGGTCATGGTTTCATAGTGTCGTATTACAATTAGTTTTTATTTCACATGACTTTTCAGAGCTCAAATTAAGAATTTAACCAAATTAATCTCTATAACCACACTAAAATTAATAAATAATTTTTTCTTAGCCACACATTTTAAATGTGTCAAAAAAGCAAAATATAACTGTATACTGTAGTTTTTATTTAACAAAACATTTTTTAAAAATGTGTTGTTAACTACTGTCCACATAAATGGGAAGTTAATATCCTATATCCTGTTTAAATAATGGTTAAAGCGAAAGCAACCGGTGCTGCTTACAAAATGTCCAATCTGGAGCTCTTGAAAGCAGCAGGACTGTGGGTGCATGAATATAACTTTTTGTCTAGTCTATTTAAAACAGAACCGATCACAGCAGTTGCTTTTCCAGGCACGGTTGTTTCAAGCAAGGAAACTGGAGCGTGCACGTGTTTTATACAGTCGCCTACACGTGTTTTAAACGGTTGCGTGCATCACATCAGCTGTTGGCGCGAGTGATTATCCTCTCATTCGGTATTCAACCAGCTTTCTTTTGCCCGCACAAACTAAATTATATTCGTCAGTCATGCTGCTTCTCGATTCTAAGATCGCATTTGCACGAATTTCGGGCCATCCTTATTGTCAAACCCTGCTTTTAAGAAAGCTACAATTAAAAAATAATTTTCAACCAGCCAAAGTGGTTAGTGGAGATGGCTGTCTAATGCGGGTGTGAATGTAAAGCCCTGATTGTGAAATAAATGCTAGTGTTGCTCGCCATAATACTGTACATGTTCTGTACTTCAAAACAGAGTTTAAGGAGGCGTTCTCACTGTTCGACAAAGACGGCGATGGCACCATCACCACCAAGGAGCTGGGCACAGTGATGCGCTCATTGGGTCAGAACCCGACTGAAGCTGAGCTGCAGGACATGATCAACGAGGTCGACGCTGATGGTAAGATCGATGCTTTCCATCCACAGCAATGTGCAGCCGTAGATCTATACCCACCAAATTAAGGTCTTTGGATCACTAGAAACTTCACAGTAAAGTGTTTTGGAGCTAAACTTTGCAGGATATTGACCCTACATAATCTGAATTGGACACTATCCTAAATCCAACTGGTTTTGGATGACGTGCTAAGATGGGAATCTTAGAATTGGAGGACTACCCCGTCAATCCCAAATGTTTACTCCTTATGGTCCACCGTATTACATACTAAAATGGCAAGAGCTGTCAAAAAATCTATTCTGATTGGCTACTAGCTGAAAAAGGATTAGTTTAGGTCTCAGGATTTTAGAATGGGAAATCCTGTGAAAATTTTAAAATCAGTTCATGACATTAAATCTTTAAAGATATTGAAAAGTACTGTCGGGAGCACTGGTGAAAAGATTTAATAAATCTAGTTGATTTTCCATATAATATTGTGGCAAATTGTGACCACATGGTTTTGTTTATCTGTAGGCAATGGAACTATAGACTTTCCAGAGTTCCTAACCATGATGGCGAGGAAAATGAAGGACACGGACAGTGAAGAGGAAATCCGAGAAGCTTTCAGAGTCTTCGACAAGGTGAGGAAATGTCACTGGTAACAGCAGCTGCCGTGAACATGAAACAAGATGAAGTTCTGATTTATGAACGATAATTAATCATGAATGATCTTTATGAATATACAAGGGCAATTTGTAAGCAACACAAACAGACCTTTTTAAGGATCAAGTTAACCAAAACCAGTCAAAATATAAAAGGCTGGCTCAAATAATCAGTCAAGACAATCCACTGAGTAATAGATTTGAAAGCCTGTAGCTGCTGCCATGTGTTTATGTAAGAACTTTGCAGGTGTGTTTTCCAGACTGTGGGTGAGATTATTCACCATGTGGGTTTAGGCTACATCAGGCCCTTGGCATGAGAGAGTGCTTGAAACAGCTTGCGTTGAATTGGGCTTGATTGCTTCCTTGCTTGCTTTTTACAAGGGATGGGAATTACATTCTAATTACTTAGATTTTTGGTGTTCTAAGGTACATACTATTATATGGACTGTAGACATAAGCTGATATTCGATAATTTCATACTGTATATTTTGATAATGAACATGCATAATATTTATATTGTGGGCACTTCAAACTACTGTAAATTATCTCTTTTTTAAACTTTTAAAGTGCCTTTAAAAAACATTGATTGTTGCATCGCCTGTGATGTACTTAACTACAAATACTGGAAGACTTTTCTTAAGTTAATAATTAATAAAAGTATTTTTAATTAATACAACCAGTTATTTTTTACAGATATTAGCATGGAAACCAAAAAAAATTTTTTTTTTTTCTCGCAATTGATTTTAATGCATTAAATAAAATTTATTAATGAGACTTAATTGTAAAGTGTTACCTGTTAACCTTTTTTTTTTAACCCTTTTTCAATTTAATACAGTATATTTTAGTAGTTGTATTTAAGTTTTTGACTCTTCTTAAACATAAAAATACCATAAAATGTTTAAGAAATATGCTAAGTGAACATTCTTATTTATCTGAAAAACATTGCTGATTTCAGATTTTCTGCCCTAAAAAAATGTGTTTTCCGTGCTGGAATGTTTTGTCTTTGTTTTAGTCATTTTAACCTGTCCAATGCCAGTTTAGCCAATTATATTTCTGAACCCTGGGTTGCCTGGGTGGAAAACCACATTTTTCATTCATTCATTCATTCATTCATTCATTCATTCATTCAATTAGAAAGGCTTTGAAAGCATGCTTGCGTGACCGATGCAACCTTTGGTGGACAGTAGCAGACTCCAAAATGAGACGCAGACTTGGTTTCACGTAAGGTAGTTATTGATTAGCAAATGATATGTTACGAATGTAAACATTAAATGAGCAGTTTACATTGTAACTGCGTGTCCTAACAACATGTTTCGTGATTAGATACGCAGTGATAAGAAATTTGGCTGTTTGCACCAGACGAAACACAGCAGAACTTTAAAATACAGCCATTAAGAAGCACAGAATATAAACTTGCCCACGAAATGGTAAGATTTGTAATCTATTTGGAAATAAAGTTTTAAATGGTTTACTTTATTTTCAAGATCTAAGATGAACCATTTACGACAAGCACGACAAATGTCTCATTTGACCAGTGACAAAAACTATGTTGTCTAATAATGTTGTCAATGACAAATGGCAAGCATATGTTTCAAGCATAATAAATCAACTTCAGAATACAACTACTCATAATTCTGATGTCATCACTTTACTGTGCATTAATTAAAAGTCTATTCAAGTCCACCATTCCAAGTCCATACAAAACTTAGCATTTTAACCAACAATAGACCTATACATAGGGCTAATATTATTATTGTTCTTTTAAAATGTTTGATAAATAACAATAAAAATAGCCTGGGGTCCGTTCTTTGTACGTGGATTACTCAGTTAGCTGGATTTAGATGTTGACAATTTTACAGGATCCAGGATTGTTTCGTTCTTCAAAGCTGATCCGAGAGTTGTTGTCATAGCAACAGTTCTGGTAGATCAAACTTGCTCGGCAGCAGGCTCAATTCATAAACAGGATTAGATCGGCTCAGTTCATGCAAATAAAATACTGAAAGCATGTACCGAATGCTGATTTTCTTATAGTAGTAGTTATATACACTTGGGAAAATAGTAACTATTTTTAACTATATATATATATATATATATATATATATATATATATATATATATAAAACTTATGCAATCTGCACCCCTGAAATGAAAGTACAAAGACTGCCACCTAGTGGTGCAAAGAGTAAACTTATTGGTATGAACTTTTTAGATCGCTTTAGAGCAGGGGTCTCAAACTCGCGGCCCGCGGGCCATTTGCGGCCCTCAGTGCAATATTTTGTGGCCCGCGCCGACCGCTGTACACTGACAGAATCCGTCCACACTACGCCTGAGTTTTCGAGCGCTGAAAACGGATCGTTTCGTAAACGCTGGAGAGGCCGTTTTTATTCTGAAACGCTGCTGCTCTGTCTCAGTGTGGATGGGGAAAGACGGAGACATCTGAAAACGGAGGCGGGGCTGCAGACATTCGCCTCTCTGATTGGGGCTTTTCCTCAATATTAAGTAGCCTAACACACAGTTCAGTCCTGAATCTTCTCCATGTAAGTTCAGACTTCGCAAGTTTGATTAAGGCTGCATCTCTTCTTCTCAGTTTGATATGGAAAACAGACTATACCGAGGACACGCGTCAATCTTCACAGGGAACCGTGTACTTTATAACTTAATTCACATCACCCTGGCTACGTTGTTTCACTTTCTCAACAATAAAATGTAAACTTGATATAAGGAACTGCCTATTTTTATTTCAATATGCCTCCTTTCAATTTCAGTGAAAATACGAAACATGACCTCTCTTTTGCTGAATATCAGTTTTAATAATCGATAATGGCCATTATAAAAGTATAACATACAATAAGTTTATACATTATAGGAAATAAAGGCCAGCGATCAGTCAATATACAGAATAGGCTATGTGGTTATCTTATTAACTTATCTTTCCGCTCAGCCAAAACATGTTACCTGAGAACAAGTAATAGATTCCAATGACCAAAGTCAGGGAATATGTCGTTAGATAAAGACAACAAGATGAATGAAATATCCCGTTTAATAAATATAGTGAGATTAGATCCAGCGGGAGATGCTTGATGAGAAGTCCGACTAGCAGAGCTCTCATCTGGGTAGACAGGCTGCAGTGCTTGCCAAAGTGTATGTGTGTGTGTGTGGTCACGTGGTGTGCGTTTTCAGCGTTTTGGTGTGGACGGAGAGCAGTTCAGAATCGCTGGGTAAAACGCGAGTGTGGACGCGGATCGTTTTCATTCTAAAACGCCGTTTTAAAACTAAAACGCACTAGTGTAAACAGGGCCTGACAGAATCAGCGGAGCGGGGAGAGAGAGCGCTCCCCGCTCCGCTGATTCTATCCGTACACAGTGGTCACTGGCATTCCCCGCCCGCCGTATAAACAAAGGGGCGGGGATGCCGGTGACGCTTTGTTAGACGCTGTGACGGGCCGGAAGTGTTAGGAGGGAACTCGCGCCGGCCAGAACCAAGGTAAGCTGTTCCCGCCCCTGCCTGCCTACCTATCTGCAGTCTGCCACCTACAGCCTGCATCTTATATATATTATAGGTAGATACAGACTGGCATAGACTGATGTGACTGGAGTGGGGTGGGGGTGTTTTATTTATACAAATGCCTTTTTTTTTTTTAGGTGAAGGAATATAAGTTTTGAGTGTGTGAGAAGTGTGTGAGAAGTTATTCTCCACCTTGAACTTCAATAAGTCAAAGTACAGGTCTAGACTTAATGATGATCATCTTCAAGCCATACTGAGGGTCTCAACTGCTTCCGCTCTAAAGCCAAATGTGGTTCAGATTTGTGAGAAGAAGCGCTGTCAAGTCTCTGGCAGCAAGAAGTAGGCAAAAGATGCCATGTTCAGAAGAACTGTTCATAATCTTCACTCAATGTTCTATTAATGTTCAGGACACTTCATGTTTAGAAGAAATAATTAAAACTGTTAATAATGACATTTGAGGACTTTTTTTTTTGTGAAATCCCTTATGCGGCCCAGCCTCACCCAGACTTTGCCTGCTGCGGCCCCCAGGTAAATTGAGTTTGAGACCCCTGCTTTAGAGCAATTTGTTTATAATAGAAATGCACAATATGTGACTTTTTTTAAAAGCAATAATATGCAATCATAAATCTGTTTTGACAGTTAATATGCCGGTGATTTGATGCTTCACAAAAGTTGCAGACACCTTTACCAATATCAAAATGCTTTTGTAAAAATCCAGTTATTCTTTACACCGATTAAAAAAAATGGCTACTATAATAAAGACTATCTTTTCAAAATGTAGAACTAAATACACTGATATGCATTGAAATACATAATTAATACTCTTGACACATGAAAGTGTAAAGCCTGCAGCTCACAACAAATGTGGAAGGTTATTGCGTGTCATATTTAACAAATGGTTTACTGCTAATTTGATGTAATTTTGCTCACATGGATAATAGAATATTAATCAGATGATGTCATTACGTTGATGTGCCGTCAGCCAATCGTTGCATTGCTGATCATGATTTCGAGGATCGATAGATCTGATCTTCACAACACAAGCAGCGATCTCAGATCAGTTTATCCAGACATTCTAATCTGATTCGCAACTTCTTTGAACCAAATTAGTGAGAGATCAGTTATCAAGATTAAAAGATCCAGGATCTGCCAAATCATCTTAGATCATTTAAGCGAGGTACGAAAAACGGAGTCCTGCTCATATTAAGCTTTATTTACATCTACAGAATCTTGAGATATTGTGATCTTCATTTTAAGCAAAAAACAAAAACAAAAAGTGTTCTCACTTTAGCTAGAATCATGCAGCCCTACCAAATACTGTTGATAAGCTTTAGAAATTAATCACACAAGACAATTTGATGCCGTCAAAAGCCTGTGGCACAGTAAAAGAAATCTGTTTAAGGATGGAGAAGTGAATATTCTTGGTGGTTTGTGGTTGAGTAACGTGTGATAGTTGGAAGAGTCAGTCTGTGACA